TGCCGTGCCATCGCAGCCATGCCAGCCTGGACGGTCCCTGCGTTCAGCCCCTGCTGGAGCTGGTACTTGCTGTGGGGCCAGTCCCAGGGAGCTATGGGGCCTGTCCCAGGGAGCGACCAGATGGCAACTGAGCCCGGAGCAGAGTGAAGGCTCCAGAGCCAGGCCAGGATGCCCAAGGGGGCACCCATTTGTGGCTGACCCGTTACTTCGTACCCCGCGCACACTGATGGTGGGGGATCTCCCCTGGCTCAGCTCCCCCAGGCAGCTCTTTTGCACAGCCCAGTCTGTTAACAACAGAACAGGAAAAGTAAAGCCCGTGCCCGCGGCTCAGCTCAGCATTCAACAACCAAACGCTCTCTTTCTTACAAAGACCATTTGCTTGGAAGTGTGAAAGGCTAATACTGTGTGCCTCAGAGAGCAGGTCTGGTAGGATGCAAAGGGGTATGCTTTGTAAGACAACCCGCTGCCCAAACACGATCCGTGTGCTTGGTTCTTCGGTTTCTTCTCAAAACACTTCCAGGTTCCTGTTTCCCACCAATCTCTACCTAACAGAAACCAATTTTTTCTGCCCAGCCTGTTTACCACCCACAGTCTCTAGGGCCCTTTAATTCCCACCAGAGCCCAGGGGCTCCTCCTTCAAAAGAAAAGTCTGAGCAGGCAAAAACTGAAGCAGGGCCTAGGATGAGAGCAGGGACTCTGCCAGCACGACTCACCTGCCTGACCAACAGATCTGTGTGAGCCTGGAGAGGACAGAGAGCACAAGTGAACTACAAAGCCCAGCGTAAGGTATCTGTAGAGGGTTTGGATATCAGGGTGATGCCAATAGAGATGTGAGAAGAGGAGTCACCAGGAGGAACAAAACTCCGGTGAGTTCATTGCCAAACACCTTCTTTAGCCCTCACAGAGATAAACCAGCTGTTACCCAAACTCACATCAGGACTGTATTTAAAGCATTTTATTGCTTCACACAGTTAAAGCTGTGTCCCCTCCGGACAGGAAGGGAGGTGATGGAAGATGGTGGTTTGACCTCCTTTTGGGAGCCCACAGCGGAGCTTTGCAGAGCTGAGTGGGGCCAAGTTTGGGCAATGCTGGGGTCACTCAGCCCTGAGCAGTCACCCTGCGGGACCAGCAAGGCTCAGGGGACAAGGGGCAGTGCAGAAGAGAGTGAATTGAAGGCATCAGCAAGGAGAAGTGCCCCAAGGACTGGCCTGCGAGGAAGAGCCTTGCAAGGGGAGATGATGTGTACCAGCCCTGAGGCACAGCGGCCCTTACCTGTGGGCTTCCAGTTTCCCATGTCAGTGCTGTCTGGAGGATGTTAAATTTGGCGGGATTAGTTTTAGATTAACCTGCCGAAGAGCTTCTGGCCCTTGTCAGGAAGTGGGAACTTCCAAAGCAAGACCAGCACTGACAAATAACAGGGAGGGGAGTGAGAGCTGCCCTTTTTCTCACAGCCTAAAATAGACGCATGAGAGCTGGCAAAAGCTTAAAACACTCTGAGACTGCAAACATTGCTGGCTGCAACAAGCAGAAAGATTATGCCCAACTTTGTGAGGATGCAAAATCTTGTAAGTCACAAGTGAGAGGTTAGGACCTCAGCACATCTTTATTTGCACAGAGACACGTGGGAGACCAGCATGTGCAGGGAGAAGCTGCTGGGAGGCAGCGCTCCGCTGGCATCCCAGGATCGGGGAGGCCGGAGGTTACCAGCAAAGCTTTAACGTCAGGGCTTCATCAGCTGTGATGCTACATCTCTGGGCTGATCTCCACATCGCCTTTTCAGGTACTTACCCAAAAATATGTGATGTTTTGTTCCTAGGGCAGCCTGGAGCCCAGTTTATGTTTTGTTTCCCCTATAACTCTCCTTTTAAACCATCTTGCTGCAGCTCTGGCTCCTAAAGCCTTATTAAACAAACCTTTGCTCTGTAAGGCTGGGAGACACAGGGAGCCCAGGAACGCTGATAACCCAGTGACATGCTGTTCCCGTGAGACAGCTGCCCGCCTGCAAGGGGTACGCAGGCAGCAGAAGGATGGGGGATTTGGAAGCACTGGGGCTGGGGCATGTTTGCTGCCTGTCCATGGAGGACCAGCATGGGGTTGTTCTGCTCCCTGCTGGCTTTGGGGCTGGGGTCTGTCCTGGTCCCTTTACAAGGGAACCAGTCCCCTCCTACAGGCCCGCTCTGCAGTGCTTAGGGGACATGGGGGTCTATAGATGTAGCTGACCTTGTCAGGGTGCTCAGGGAACACGTCCACTGTGGCCAGGGAGGGCTGACAGGAGCTACTGGTGTAAGCCTCCAAAAAAGGCACAACTGAGAGCAACACAGAGGGGGGACAAGCAGACGGCGGCTGGTCCCCTTGGGAAGGAGCATGGGTGGTGGCCGCAAGGCCCGAGGCCAGGAGCCCTGCTCTCCCCCTCGGGGCAGCAGGCCCCCACCCTGACCCTTCATGTCACCATTGGGTGTGATATCCTTCTGGCAGTCCCTGCCACCCTGGGATGAGGAGGGTCCCGGGGGTCCCAGGACCCTCCCCTCTGGCAGGGACATGCAGGGGCAGGGAAGGGAGCCCGTCCTCCCCTGGGCGTGTGATGCCTGCAGCAGCCCCAGGAGTGTCAGGGAGCTGCTAGGGCTCATCAGGTTCCCCTCGCCGGTGAAGCCTCAGTGAAACACCCCCTGGAGCTGGACAGAGCCCCGACACCTGGAGTAGCAGCTCCCAAACTTCCCATGCTGGTGGTGCCTTCCCCTGCTCCTGCCCTGCCCCAGCTGATCCTCCTGTCGCTGCCACAGTGGGACAGCCACATTCCTCCCAGGCACCCATGTCCTTGCCGTCCACGCCAACACCCCATGCCACAGGAGAAGCAGGGGATGAGGCTGCACACAGCACCCAGGGGGCTTGGGCGATGCAGGGGGAGAAGCAACACCGGGTGGCCATGCGAGGCAGGTGCCCGGCCCCACCGGCTCTGGGCAGAGCTGCCTGAAAACTCTCAGTGCTGAGCAGCAACCAAAGAGGTGATGCCAGACACCAGGAACTGTTAGGAAAAGCCGCTGGGTGGGAGTTTGAATTTTTTTTAACCCTAATCACTCTTGACAAACTTATTTTTATTAATTAACATACTTGGGTTTATGTAACTTCTTTTTTAAAGGTTTAATAATACTATGGTGAAACTTTTACTGTTAAAAACAATACAGAAACCATCACGTACGTCCCTTGAGTGCTGCACACAGTTCTCCTTAGCCTCAAAGCGCAACCAGCCAGGCTGAAACAGCACATGGGGATGGGGAGAACCCACATGGACCAGGACAGGCCACCGGAGCTAGGGTGCCACGTGGCCCACGCAGACCCTGAGCAGCATGAGAAGGGAAGCAGTAAGTCCCCCGCATCCATGAGGCAGCCAAGGAGAAGCTTCATGGGCCGTTGCTGAGGCAGAGCCCATGTAGGCTGTGCCCCAGGACACTGTGGGTGCCAGAAGTGGAAATGGGGTCCAAATGGGATCCAGCAAGCTCCTGGAGGATATGCCCAGCTGCATGGGTGCAACTCGCCATGCCCTGCTGCATGGCGGCAGCGTGGAGGTTCACATCACCTCAACACCCACCACTGGCTTTCCCTGCCAGGGTACCACTGCCATAGGACCCGCCCTGTCCCCATGTCCTTGTGCCAGCCCCAGGCAGCACCAGCATTACAGCCCTGAGGGAGCCTGCCCTGGCTATGGGCTGCCATGTCAGATGTGGGGAGCAGCTGCCTTGGACCCCAACACCTACTACATTTTAGGCTCCACTCTTGTTCCTCAGTGCAGGATAAACCACAGGTCACCTCATTTGATGGTAATGCTGAAGCCTTTGCACATCTTGCTCTCCAGCCTTTTGCTTGAAGCTTTCAAGAATAGCCCTTGATTTTGTTTTAACCCCATGCCAGGGGTGCCCAATGAGCATGCTGGTGCCCAACTCGTCCTTAGGGTTTCCAGCTATGTGCACTGCTCCAGGGTACAGCTTGCGCAGAGCAGTGTGGGACACATTTGGCAGCCAGCCCCAGCCCTCCTGCAGTGGGGGCGGAAAAGGGGAGAGGAAGAGCCCCAAGGGCACTGCTTAAGGCACACAAAAACAAGGGCTGGGGCTGCCCCCTGGAGCTGGGCACAGACCTGGCTGAGTGGGGAAAGCAGGAAACAGCAGCACCCACAGCCACGTCGATGAGGGCCACCAGCCCCCTACACACCCCAGGATGTTCCCAACAAGAGACGGGGCCGCCAGGCCCGCCTGCCCCCATGCCGGGTGAATGAGCCTTGGTGGGGTGTTTCTTGGATGGGAAGGCCCACGGGCAGCCTGTCCCCAATGCCCTAACCTTGCATCAGCCCAGCCAGGGAGAAGGAAAGCCACAGGACATTTGGACTGGGGTGAAAACAGCATGGGGATGGTGAATAGGGAGAGGTACCAGCCCCACACCATGGTGTGGAGGAGAAGGGCAGCTCCTCCAAGGGTCTCCCAGTACCCACCTGAGCTCCAGCACATGGGTAGCCCCCAGCCCGGGGAGCAGCTTGGTCCTGACCTGCTGGTTGCCCATCTCCAGCATCACACCAAGGGCAGCCCCTTGCATACTGCAGGAGTTGGTGCTGGGGACAAGCCCTGGGCCACCATGGGACTGCCCTCCTCCAGGCTGGGTGGGTGCCCATGGGGAAAAGCCCTGCCTGCAGCTGCTGGAAAGCAGACAGGAGTGCTCGCACTGCCAACTCCTGCATCTGACCACCAGGTTTTATTAAGCAGGGCAAGGCTGGGATGTGGCTGCGAGTACATGAGGAGCCCTGGCAACCCCAATTCCCTCCCCTTCTCCACCAGGAGGGCTTCACAAGCAAGCTCCCTGGCACCCTCCCGGGCTGCCTCATGCCAAGGCTGGGACGGACACAGCCCTGCAGCCTTGACTGCCCCAGGTTTCCTTCCTCCCCAGCTGCAGGGTGCTGGCAGGACAGAGCAGTTTTGCAGCTGCAGCCCTCCGAGCCGTCTCCGCTCACTCCCCACCATCACGCTGTCCCCAGCCAGCTCCAGCAGCACGCCCACCAGCTCCACTCCTCATTGCCTCCAGGATGCCCTCAAACACCAATGCACTGCTTGAGCTCCTCATCTTCAGCCCCAGGCCTGGTCATGCTGCCGACAGTGCAGATAGGGCAAGGGAGTCCTCGGTTCCAGGCTGTGTTCCCGCAAGGGCCAAGCAAGAGTCCAGTCAGCTCTTTCCTGCCGGAGTCCTGCTCCCTGCTGCTGCTTGGAGGGGCACGGCTCTGCAAGTCCCCCACACTGGGAGGGGAAACACAGCTGGCTCAAACCCAGGCGGCAGGAGCGAAGCCGGGGGCAGAGTGGAGGCTACCTGCGTGGTGTGCCACATCTGCAAGGAGAGTACGGCACGAGCTGAGTGCTGCCAGGATGGAGGGGGCGGGGGGACGGGACACACGACACCAGGACCTCCAGGCTCACCCTCTCTGCCCTGGGTCACCCCTCCCTGTGCCCAGCCTCTCCGGCACAAAACTGTGGGGTAGGGACCACAGGCAGCCTCTTCACAGGGAGGAGTGAGTGCAATGGGGCTGTAGGTGCTGGCTGAGCCCCAAGCAGCAAGCTTCAGACAAAACGGGGAAATATAATGGGAAAGTGCCAGCCATAGGCTCCATACCCCAAGAGTGTCTGCAGTAAGAGTCCAGCCTGTGCTGTTACAGCAAGCGATTCGAGACAGACAGCTAAACGTGAGGGAAAGGGTAGAGTAACCCAAACAATGACTAGCCAAGGACTGCAGGAAGGACACAGCTAGCAGCAAGATCAGGCTGAAACTGGAAATTCATGGATCCAGGAAACCCAGCGTGGTCTGTGATGGTGATAGAGCTACACACCATCAAGTCACCCAGCCCATCCATCTCCACCCTGGGTCGGACTGGCCAGCTTTGAGCAGCTGAGCCTGGAGACTACCGAGCACCTATTGAGCCTTCAATAAAAGGCCCGTTTCCCCACAGCCGCCCACTGTCCCCTCCATCCTGCTTTCTCCTGTGTCTGCTCTGCACAAACCCCTCACTGCTCACAGCATCAGCAAAGACCTAAAGGCTTAACGAAGCTGCTCATCCCAAAGAAATGAACCCAGAAAATACCACCCACACCTGCCCCTGCTCACTTACAGTTCACAGTCTTTACGTCTCTTCTTGTCTTGTCTTCTCTTACCTCGGTCCTTGGACCTCCTCCTTCGAAAGGAACGTACCACAAGAGAGGCTGATGTGTGGGAGATGAGACCCACAACCCCAGCCGGTAATGCCGTCCCTGATGTCGCTTACCTTCCCAACCTCATCAGGTCCTGCCGGGGCCTGCGGGGCGGGAAAAGGACAAAGTGAAGTGCTTACTTGGGCAATGCTGTCTGTTTTGCTGCTGGAAGTGGTTTATTGAGATGCCCCAGTGTGCAGCACAATCTACCTGTTATCATTCATGCTTAAAACAGACGCACTATGACTTCCCTCCAAGTTATCAACTCCTCAGCCAGGACCTGACTGCAGTAGGCAGAGAGAAGGCAGAGACAGCAAAGGGGCAGGGTATGGTCAGCTTTAGTGACTCCCCTGGGGATGTGACATTTTGCCCATGAGGCCGGGAAGCACAAGTTCAATTTCAGCTGCTCTCAGTGACAGCTTTCATAGCTCAGCTGGTTAAACAAGATGCAACGTCCTGAGTAACACTTGGGATTTGCTGCAAAGTCTCAGCAGTGATTCTCAGACAACAGCCACGACATACTCGGCTTAAGCATCCCCTATAGGGCCCAAGGCCAGGCTATCCACCACACCTATGCTGAACTTCAAAGGGGAGCAATGTAAAGGTGTAGAAGGCGGCTTAGGGAGAAGCTGAAAGGTGCTGCAGAAGCAAGAAGTTTACACAGATTCAAAGGCAGCCTGCACAAGTACTTGTAGGAGATCCCCTGGGAGTTACCCTAGGTAGGAAAACTACAACAGGCTCAGGAAATTCCCTGCACGGAAAATAGCTGGAAGCGGAGGGGAGGGGGAAGTAACACACGTGCTTCTTCCCACTCCCTCTTCTGCATCCACCAACAGATGCTCCAGAGATGGTACGGAGCTGGATGGGCCTTGGGTCTGCTCCAGCACAGCCGCTCTTACAACTGCAGGGGAATACCAACCCGGGGATCCCTCAGGCTCTTTTTCCAGGCAAGGATCATGTCTAACAGCTGCCCAGCAAGACACTCAGTCCCCAGTTTTCGCAATACTGGGGTCATGATGGAGAGTGAACGCCAGGACCCCCATGCAGGCAGTGCTGGAGAGGCTCTGCAGTGGGGACCGGCTGCGGGCAGCACCAGAGCCACTCCCTGCTCCCACAGCACTGCAGCCCCCAGGCAGAGGCCCGTCCTGCACAAGCTCTCACCACTTCTGGGACACAGTGAGCACCCCAAGGGGTTAACTACATGCTAGGAGTCTGTGGTAGGTTGGTGCTGCGCATCCATCCCAGGCCAGCACTGTGTATCCACACCAGGTTGGCGCTGCACGTTTTAAGCTTTCACTTGTCAGCTTGGATGTAAACCCCTGCTCCCCAGCCCTGGATGGGGCGCCTCCCTTAAATGGAGGCCCAAGGCCCAGCCCTTCAGCTTTCTCTTTGGGCCACAGTCACGCTCAGGTATGCCAAGCCATGGAGCTCCCTTGCTGAGCCACCACCTTGGGCGTGCTGCCCCACACCAAACACCTGCCTCAGAGCCACCAGCCTTGCTCCGTTACCCACAGGCAGCTCCTCCAGCCAGAGGAGCACACGCCAGGCATGCCAAGGCAGCTGCAGGGATGGGGGGCACAGACATCCCTGCTCACAGAGCCGGGGTGCTGCAGCAGCTCTAGCCCTGCAGACAGTGCATGGTGCCTGACCTGGCCACACAATACTAAGCACCCCCTTGGCTGCAGGGAGCAGGCTGCAGAGGCACGGTACAGCCTGCAGCTGAGCAAGGGCCACAAGCACTGGCAAACCCCAGCGCAGTGGGGTTGTCCCAGCATGGCTGGGGTGCCCCAAGGCATCCTTGTCCCACATGCAGGGTGAGCTGGCAGGATCACTCTTGCTGGAGGGGCACAAGGGTGCAAAACGAGCTCAGGGGTCCCTACCTGCACTCACACTGCTTGTGCTCGGTGAACGCCATCTCCACATAGGGTGCCTCCCCATTTGGCTTTATCTTCAGGAGCTGAAAGAGGAGCAAAGGTTACTTCCCAGCTGGCGGCAGGAGGGGGCTGGAAGGGCTCCTGAGGCACTGCCTCACCACCCCAGCCTCTCGGGCAGACGCGTGTCTAACCTGTTCCTCGGGACCTCTGGCAGCAGAGACTCCACCTCCGCACACAGGCAGCACCAGCCAGGCCCGGCTGCCCCGGCAGCTTGGGAGGCTCTGCTAGTGCTGCCCCGTGTCTTCAGGGCTGTAATTTAAGTCCCTTGGTCTTGGGATTTCCCAGCCTTAGAGGAGATTTTTCTATCTCTGCGTTTGTGGAGAGCTTTCACATATTTGACCACTTTGCACATCTCCCTTCTCTGATGGAAATATCCCCCTAGTCATGTTTTCCAGACCATTCCTGTTGCTGCTGCCTCCTCCTGGCCCCCTTTCCCACAGCACCGAGCCTAGAGTCAGTACCACTGTGCCTCCCAAGCCCAGGGGTGCAGGATTTGCCCTGTCATGTGTCAGTCCACAGCCCAGCCCGGAGTTTGGGTTGGACATCCAGGGGCTTCACAGGGTATGTTCATCATTGATGTGATCCACACTAGCCCCCGCAGAAGTGCCTGGCATTGCCACCCTGCGCACAGCAGCGGGATCCCTCCCGTGGAGGGAGACCTGTGCTTGGGAATTTGCCTCCTGTTCATGCCAGGCACTTGCTCCACCTCAGTCAAGATTTTTTGGAGACTCCCACCCTACCTTCCAATACGCTTTCAACCCCTGAGGGACCAAAATCACTGGTGATTTATTGCAGGCACTCTCTAGTCCGTCACCCACGGCAAAGCAGAGCTTTTCCCTGCTCCCTGCAGCAGCAGTGGATTGATCTCCAGCAGCGCAGCGCAAGGGCTGCAGCATGAGGACAACGGCTGCCTGGCACACGGGGAAGAGCCGACTGGCAGCTTGTTCGCAGACTGGGATCTCCCACCCTACTTCGCACAGCTCCCACAGTGGGGACTGGAAACACAGCTGGTGCAGCCCTTCACATTTGCCATGCCCCCAGCACACATTCACTGTCAGCACCACCGCGGGCATCTCCTGACACACGAGAGCCTCACTTCTCCCTGTGGTTCAGGGGTAGCGCCTGCTTTGCCCCAGCAGGCAGAGTCATGGGCAACTGGGACACCCCCAGCGCAACCACAGGACAGGGAAGGTCTGGAAAGGCGACGGCAGTCAGCAAGATGGACCACACAGAGAGGAGAGGGCAAGGGAAGCAGGGAGCAAGGCCAGTACCACCAGGGGCGTCACCTGGCCTCAGAGACAAGCCCAAAGAGCAGGCAGAGGGACCCTCCTGGTTTGGCATGCATTTCAGCAGTTGTGAGTAAGCCCCCTCCCCTGTTATCCATGCTGCTACAATGTCTGGAGGATGTGAAGCTACAAGTTCACCCTCCCGGCATTTGGCGAGGAGCCCACCACCTCCCTGGCGCAGCCACGGCCCTGCAGCAGCAGTGCTTACCTGCATGGTGACTGTGCTCGTCTCCACGGGGACGCAGCGGAGACCCTCATCCCCACAGCAGCCTCCACAGCGCTGCAGGGAGACGCAGGAGGGTCTGAAAATGTACTCCACCTCATTGGGGAACTCGGTAATGACATCCACCAGCTGCTCCAGAGGCCGGCAGAAACTACGATTCCAGATCTCCCGAAAGGTCAGGACTGCAAGAGACCAGGGTAGGGGGCTATAAGGAGGCACCCCGGAGAGCCTGAGCCCAGCTGACCCACTGCTGGGGCAGGTGCAGCAGCCGCAGTGGGGTCCTGCATCCATCACAGGGGCACAGGGATGTAGAGGACCCCCTTGGGCCCCCAGTAAGCCCATCACCGCACTGGTGAGGGGGCTCACACAGCCAATACATCCACCCCGATGGACTCTTTCTCCACCAGCTCTGCCTCCTCCTTCTCAGGCACCCCGCTTCTCCCCCACACCCCACCGCGCCGGGGGTCCCTCGTCTCCCCTACCCTCCCTTGGCGGGCACAGAAGCCCAGCCCCGCAGCACAGCAGACAACCGTCCCCTCGGGTTTCCCAGCGGGGACAGCAGAGGGGAGCCGAAGCGGAGTGTTCCTGCCCGGGACCCCGCACCCCGGCACCGGAGGAGTGGCAAGCCCGGGGTAGGCCTGCGCTCCGCTCCGGCCCGCGGCGGTGCCCGGTGCCGCAA